TGAGCTTCGCATCTTGCAGCTCCAGCAGCTCACGCACGCGGCCAAAGGTGCTCATGAAACTGCTTGGCTCCATCCCGAGGCACAAGTCCTGCTTGTGCGCCTGAGCCTTTGCCCTGGCGAGGAGGGCGACCGCTACGCCGCTCCGCACGAGCACGAACTCTCGGGCACCAGTCTGATGCTGGCTCTTGGTGTTGCGCAGCTGCAGCACGGCCATTTGGCGGAGTGGATACAGCTGCACGTCGGACCACACGAGCGAGGTCATCTCACCCGTCCGGAGGAATGCGTCGTAGCCTGCTGCCAGCACCGCCGCAGCGCCCAGCTGGCCCACGGCCGCAAATGCCCCTGCGAACGCTGCCGCAATCAGCGGCCCGATCGGCAGCGCCCGCCCAGCTGGCTCCAGGCGTTGCCACGTCTTGGCCAAGCGCCAGCTGTCCCGCAGGTGCCCTCGCACGGGCGGGAATGCGTGCGTGATGCCTGCGATTGCATTATTAATCTCAAATAAAGATCCTCCGCTCAGCCAACGGCTCTCGATGAAGGCGGCCACGCCAGCGTCGACCTGAGCGGGCGTCTGCGGCTGCCGGTGCTCCTGGATCCAGAAATCAACGACATCATCGACCGCCGCACGGTACCGCTGCAGGGTGAGCGGCGTGACCATCGCCTCCCTCAGCGGTTGGGACCTCGCTGCAGCTCGTCGCGCCATCGCCTGGGCCGTGACCTGGCTCACCTTTGCTGCTGCTTGCGCTGCACGCTTGCCGGGGGCGGCCCTCCTGGCCCTCGCCGGCGGCAGCGCTGGGAGCGTGGCAGCGGCGGCCGAAGCTCCAGCGGGACGGCGTGTCGGCGGGCATGTCGTCGGTGTCGCAGTAGCCGTACAGCGGGTACCCTGCCGTCGCGAGGAGCAGGGAGTTGAGCCGGCGGAGCGCTGGCTGCAAAGCCCTCGCGCTCGATCTGCCCTTGGTGCCGACTGCCGCGATCGCTTGGGCATCCAGAATGTGCAGGTAGCGGCAGCGGTGGTTCTCAACTGCCCGGCACCTCCAGCGCGCTCCAGCCACCGCAGCCTCCAGCTCCAGCGCCGAGATGTGCCCAGGCCGCTGCCAGCGAAAGCCTTTGGCGATCCGCCAGGCCCAGAGGTGCGTACGGAGTGCTGCCCGCGGCCACGCGCGGGCGCGGTAGGGCGCCCCGGTGTCAAGCCGGACGTCCGTGCCCCCGCGGTCCGCGACCCGCAGGAACTCTACGATCAGGCTGCGTTCCAACTGCGGGTCGTGATGTCCCGGCTGCTGGAAGTCGGGGACCACGTTCCAGTTCGCCTCGCACGTGCCCACAGCGAGGCAGCTGCTGCCTGGGATGGCGGCCGCTAGCGCCCCCACTTGAGCGAGCCACGAGCCGAGAAGATACATGACAGCCTGGACGCAGAACGTATTCCCGATCAGGGACTCAATGACGCTGTCTCGCTCGGCGGCGGGGGCACTATCTTTTACAGCGGCCTGGAAATAGAGACGGTCGAACCCCATCAGAGCAGCGCGCTCCTCAGGCACGGGCAGCCGGCCCCGCTCACGCCTCGCGTCCCAGATGAGGCTGCCGTCCTCGTAGTTGTTGACCTGGTAGCGGTAGCTGTCGGCAGCCCAGCGCTCCGCGGCCAGCACCGAGGCGCGGTCGAGGCCCACGGGCCGGAACGGCGGGTGGCTTCGCGGGATTGGCCTCGTGAAGCACGGGAGGTCTGCCTCAGGGTCCAGCGTCGACCAGCCCTCCAGGAGCGAGGCACTCAGTGGGAGCCTCTCCACCGCTAGCGAGACCTTGAAGTACGCGGCTTCTCCCACATCCTTGGTCTCGACGGTGGCGTCGGACGCCAGGAACGCCGTGACCGGCCACGAGCACCAGTGCAGGCGGGGCCGCCTGACGTGAGTGAGACACCTGGCATCGAGGAACACGGGCGTGACTCCAAGCGCCCTGGTGAACTCCGCCCTCGACTCTAGGGTCATGCTGAACACGTTCTCGACGAACCACATGGTGCGCTTGGGAAAGGCAGCCTCCGCTGCCTGGATCAGCTCGGGGACCCGGAAGAACAGCCTCGACCTCGACCCCTCTAGGCCGGTCCCCACGACATTGATGCTCGCGAGGTCTTGGCACGGGCTCCCCGCGGTCAAGACGACCCAGTCGGCGTCCCGCGCGTAGCCCTTCAGCATCTCAGTAAACCGCGCCGCGTCGACGGCCTCGATGTTGCCAAGCTCAATCACGCCCGCCCAGCGGCGACGCACCAGTCGCCGGGCAGCGGGCTCGACCTCGCAGCTGACGTGGGCCATCACGTCGATCGGGAGTCTGGAGGCCGCCACCGCGGCCCCAGCAGCGCCAGCGAAGAGCTCGATGAGAACTATGCGAGGGCGCCACCGCACACCACGCACAGGAGCCGCAACTGCACCAGGCCGCAAAGTCACTGCTGATGCTCCCCCTCTCGCGCAGGCAACGCCCTGCGCCGAGAGCCCGGCCGTGTGGCAAATGCCCCCGG